CCTTGCTATTCGTGTGTTTACATGGCTGACGTGGTAATATTCAAGCTGCACAAGCTCTAAGTCATTCAAAATTATACTTGTGAAGAGGAGCGACTAGAGGGAAAATAGCACACTTTAAAAACTGAAGTGTACTCTGTCAGCCAGTTTGAAGTAAAAATTCTGCAGTTTTAAATAACCAGTGTTTTACTACAGTTAAGTAGGTGTACATTGGCCCTGATCAAGACTCAGGACAGAGGTACCTGCATGAGGTGGCCCTGTGGAAAATCCCAAAGGTATTGGAAAGAATACTGGATGTAAAAATCCGTCTTTGATCCTGCGGTGTCTGCTGAGGTTTGTTTTAGAACAACCTGAAGTATAAATAGCATAAAAATGGTGAATACTTTACGTATAAGCAACCTAAACAGTAATAGTATCCAATGAGAAAGAATATAACAACTTACAATCGGATGATTCAGTTTGGTGTAGAACCAGTTTGGTGTAGTGGTTTAAGTGCGCGGACTCTAATCTGGGAGAACCGGGGTTGATTCCCCACTCCTCTACTTGCACCTGCTGGATGACCTTGGGCAAGCCATAGTTCTGATAAGAGCTGTTCTTGAAAAAGAGTGGTTTCTGTCAGAGCTCCCTCAGCCCCACCGACCTCACAGGGTGTCTGTTGTGGGGAGGGGAAGGGAAAGGAGTTTGTAAACCACTCTGAGACTCCTTTGGGTAGTGAAGGGCGGGATATAAATCCAATCTCTTCTTCTTCTTATGTTCCAAACCACTCCAACCATACCTTTACATTTTCCCCTGGCTGGATGGATGAGCTCTGAAAAAGAGGAGTGTCACCAATCCAGGATGTGATCTAGGTTCACTGGTGTGACAGCACTTCATGACACAGATCACAGCTAATAAACTGAAGCTTAATCCAGATAAGACTGAGGTACTGTTGGTTGGTAGTGCTGCCAGTTGTGGAACTGAGGAACAGTCTACTTTAGATGTGGTTTTATTCCTCCTGAAGGAGCAGGTTCACAGTTTAGGAGTGCTGTTAGATCAAAACAAAGAGGCGGATACTCAGATCTCAGCTGCAGGCAGTAAATAGCGTCTTTCACCCACTTCAAGCCAGCTGTAACCCTCCAGGGCTCTTTTTGTAGCAGGAACTCCTCTGCATATTAGGCCACACACCCCTAATGCAGCCAATCCTCCAAGAACTTACAGAGCTCTTCTTACAGGGGCGACTGTAAGCTCTTGGAGGATTGGCTACATTAGGGGTGTGTCGCTTAATATGTAAATGAGTACCTGCTACAAAAAGAGCCCTACGCCCTCCCTCCGCAAGAATTGTAATATGACTACAACCCACACTCTGGTTACTAAAGGTAGACTTCTGTAATGGTCTCTACGTTGGTGTGCTCTTGAAGACAGTTCAGAAACTTCAATTAGTCTCAAATGCAGCAAGAAGATTGCTGGTTGAGGTGGATTACAGACTGCACATTACACCTGTGTTTGTAGATTTCCGTGGACTGCTTGTTTGTTTACAGTTCCAGTTCAAAGTACTGGTGTAACCAGTGTTCCCTCTAAGATGAGTTAGTGTGAGCCAGCTCACAGTTTTTTTAGCCTCTGACTCACAGATTTTTGTCTTAGCTCAGGAAGGACGGCTCCAGAGCCAACTAATTCAGGCAGCAGCCAGATCGCTCGCTCATAACTTTAATGCCAGTAGCTCACAAAGTAGCATTTTTGCTCACAAGACTCCACAACTTAGAGGCAGCATTGGGTGTTGTAACCTATTAAGTTTATAAGGTTTAGGTCCCAAATATTTCATCCCCACTCCCATCCTTGCTCAGGCACTGTATTCTACATTCCCAGACCTCTTTCAAGTTCCCAGACCTTTACAAGTGAAACTTTTCTGGTGGTTCTCTGGCCTGCCTTCTCTCCCTAGGCCTGGTGCCTTCATATTAAAGAGCATTCAGCACCATGCCAAGTATTTTATGTTTCAACTAACTTTTATTTAATTCAGTCAGGGGTCATTTCCTGCAGGAGCGCACAGGAGTGGAGCTCCGGCAGTAAAGAGCCCACGGGGCGGGCACATGCAACAAGCCCCCCCCCTTGTTCCCAGAAGTCCTCAGTCAGAGCAAGAAGCAGCCAGGTAAGTTGCAGACCCCCGTCCAAAACAGTCCAGTGGCACCTTTAAGACCAAGTTTTATTCAGGTACAAGCTCTCCCTCCTCTGCCAGGAGAGATCTGCAGGTACCCCCCCCCCCAATAGCTAGCAATCCAAAACAGTCCAGTGGAGCCTGAGCAGTGGGTGTTGCCTTCTGACACACTTCCCGTGATGTCAGGGTGTGTGGCATATGCAAATAAGTTATGCTAATAAGCTATGCTAATAAGCTCCTGCACCTCTTTTTCTACACAATGACCCCTGAATTCAGTTATTTATTTTCCCCATAATAGCAGTTGTTGTTCTTTGTCTCATCCATTCTGTTGCTTGCTTTAAAATGCTGCTGTCTTAACTGCTTCGTCTGCTTTCAGCTGTTTGTATACTAATACTGATCTTACAGGACTGTCCCTGCACATTTTAAAGAAATTTTATTTTTTATTTTTAAATGTGTTAACCGCACACTTTAAAGAATTTTTTTGTTTTCATTTTAAAGAAATACAAACATACAACGCTAGTCACGCTACCATTAAATCATACCAACAACTGACAACAGAAAATACTTTTTTTACTATAGCAAAAAAGGTAAAGGGTAAAGGTTTCCCTTGCTCGAAAGCCAGTCGAATCCGACTCTAGGGTTGCGGTGCTCCGTTTCCAAGACGAAGAGCCGGTGCTGTCCGAAGACGTTTCCGGGGTCATGTGACCGGCATGACTAGACGCCAAGGCGCACGGGACGCTGTTACCTTCCCCACCAAAACAGTACTATTTATCTACTTGCAACTTCTTGCTTTCGAACTGCTAGGTTGGCAGGAGCTGGGGCCAGAGACGGGAGCTCACTCCGTCACGCAGCACTTGGGTCTTGAACTGCTGAACTACAGACCTTCCAGCCTGCAGTTCAGCCTCTTAACCACTAACATCCCCTCAAACCTTTGCCAGCTCTAGTTGTGCGGTATGCTGACTGCACATGTATATTCCACTCATCTTCCCATCTATGCCATACAGTCCCATCTGGTGCATGCTTAGCCATAAGTAACCTCAGGGGCGGATTAAGGCTCACGGGTGCCCTAAACACTGACGAATCTTGGTGCTCCCCCCTCCTTTCCACACTGACCCAGTCCATTTTAGTTGATGACCTGTCTGACCAGATAGAGAAGAAGAGATTGGATTTATACCCCGCCCTTCACTCCGAATCTCAGAGGGGCTTACAAACTCCTTTCCCTTCTCCTGCCCACAACAGGCACCCTGGGAGGTGGGTGGGGCTGAGAGAGCTCTGACACAAACTGCTCTTTTTCAAGGACAGCTGTGCCAGAGCTTGTGACTGACCCAAGGTCATCCAGCCAGGTGCAAGTGGAGGAGTGGGGAATCAAACCCGGTTCTCCCAGATTAGAGTCCGCGCACTTAACCACTACACCAAACAATGCAGGTTGCAGCAATACAAACATTTATTCATATGATAACACAATAGACTGTACAAACGAAGCTTTTCACCCTTTCCCCAACTTTGTGGTGCCCCCTTTGGCCCTGGTGCCCTAAGCGCGTGCCTAGTCTGTTTAAGGGTTAATCTGCCCCTGAGTAACCCCTACTGAACCGGACCAGACTTCCTCCCAAACAAGGACGCGGGGGATTGCAGCCACTGTTCCCTCTAAGCTGAGTTAGTGCGAGCTAGCTCACTGTTTTTTAGCTTCCAGCTCACACGTTTTTGTCTTAGCTTGGGAAGGAGGGCTCCAGAGCAAACTAAATGATGCAGCAGCCAATTCGCTCGGTCAGAACTTTAACGCTGGTAGCCAGTGTTCCCTCTAAGCTGTGGAGTCTAGTGAGCAAAAATTCTATTTTGTGAGCTACTGGCACTAAAGTTGTGAGCGAGCAATTTGGTTACTGCATAGATTAGTCTGCTCTGGAGCAGTGTTCCCTCTAAGCTGAGTTACGTGTGAGCTAGCTCACAGTTTTTTAACCTCCGGCTCACGCATTTTC